TGAGCCAGGGTGTCAACTCATACAGTCCCTCCAAGGTTGGCTTGAGATGAGCTAGCGAGCTTAGATAAGGTGTTATCTCGGATGTTCTCAGCCTGTGGTATCTTTTGTATGAAAAAGTTCTCAAATAGGATGAAGAATTCTTGGACCTTCTTTAAATAGCTGGCCATGATGGGCTCCAAAGTCTTGAATTTGTTGTTGATTTGATTCACCACAAGTTGAGAGTCATTGAAAGGTTCAACGCGTCTTGCACCAACCTCCAACGTGAGGTGTAATCCGGCTATGGGAACTTCATACTCAGCTTCAGAGGCCTTAAAGTTGAATTTGAGGGCATATTCAAGAATGGTGTCATCCAACCTGAGGATGAGGAGACCGGCACCACTCCCTTTCTGGTTGGAGGAACCATCAACGTGGAGTGCCAATGCTGAAGGCTCTTTGACTAGATTCGGGAATTGAGAAGGTGCACTCGACAATGAAATAGACCAAGGCCTAATCTTCGATAGCGGACCAAGGAGTGTACTTGAGGTCAAATTCACTGAGTTCTATACTCCACCTTATCAGGCAACCTAAAGTTTCCAACATCTACAGTACTTGTCTGAGTTGTTAATCTGTGAGGATGCAAATGTTGTGGGCCTGGAAGTATGGTTGGAGTTTGCAAGATGAAGTCACTAGGGCCAAAGTGACTCTCTAGGTTTGGGTATCTAGTTTTTCATCGCTGAACACCTTTCTTGTATAGTAGATCAGCCTTTGAACTCCATCTTCTTCTTTTACCAAGACTGAACTTACCTTCTCATCCTTGGTGGAGAGATATAGTAGCAATTGATCACCCGGACTCAAATTCATCAGCATAAGTGGAAAGCTCAGGTACTACTTCAACTACTAGTGTTTGGGGTGCATCATTACCAAAGGGCATGACCTTGTATCAATAGAGGCCTCAATCAATGATGAAGGTAGTTTTCTCTTGGTCGTCGGGGTGCATCCTTATCTGGTTGTAGCCTGAAAAGGCATCCATGAAATAGAGCAACTTGTGGCCTATAGTTGCATTGATGACCTGGTCTATCATCGATAAAGGAAAATTAATTTTGGGACAAGCCTGGTTGATGTTAGTGAAGTCTATGTAGATCCTCCATTTTCCATTGACCTTCTTCACCATTACCACATTCGTGAATCAATCTGACTATGTCACTTCTCTAGTGAAACTTGAGTCAAGAAGTTTGTTCACCTCCTTGTTTATTACTTGCCATCGCTCTAGAGCGAAGATCCTCTTCTTCTATTATACACATTGATAGTGGGGGTTAGTGCTAGGTCGATGGGTTTTGACTTGGGGGTCGATCCCTGCCATATCTGAGTCAAACCCTCAATGGGTTGACTGCACTATGTGTGGAGCTTGTCTCGAAGGTCTAGGCCATTAGCGGAAAGAGCTTCTAAGGATTCGGATTTTCCTCTACAGGCTACTACATAGCATTATTGGGTAGTGCACTGATCTCCTCAAGTGACACCGGTGCTGTAATGAGTTGGGAGCTTCATTGCTTCAATAGCCATGGATGACGTTGTATGATGATTGGACTTTTACCATTAAGAAGTCCACCATTGGTGTGCTCTTCTAGGGGTCATCCCCTAGCATCATCAGCAGATGGGGTCTTTGATAAGATTGCGGAGGTCTCTGCATCTCTTCGTGTCATGGTCATGGTCTCAGTGGACTTCGCAATACTTATTTCAACTTCTCTTGTTGCCTTGGGACTTCAGTTTTCCAACCATCAAACAAAGAGGTGATCATAGATATGCATCAACACTTTGGTTTGTGCTGCATTGAGTGGCATGAAATTCTTGAATGTTAGAGGCAGAGTCCTTGGCCTGTGATCTCGGCAATGATCCATCCTCTTCCTATCGTGGTCAGCCCGACTGTCATCCCGATCTTTGCATTTCAAGTCATGCCAATTCTCCTCATTTTCTTGGCGTTATGTCTATGCTTCCTTGTTGTTGATGTACTTTTGCACCCATGCCAAAAGTTCGGTTATGTCTTGGGGGGCCTTCTTTTGCAATGAGAAACTGAAGCGCAAGGAGCACAAATCGTGCATTAGGGTGGCTACTGCTACAGACTAATTCAAGTTTTGGACTGAATCTACTTGGCATTGAACCTCACCAAGGGCTTCCTCAAGGACTCCTCATCCTTCTGCTTGAGTTGCATGAGGTTGACTGACATCTTCCAATGTTGCCAACTACTAGTGAACTGTGTTGGGAACTTCTCTTCGAATTGGTGAATACCATTTCTGAACTGCTTCCTATAGGGTGGAAGCAAAGGCAGTCGAAGTGACTTATGGGGTCCTTAAACTGAGCTAGCCATGGAAAGCTCGTCCATGATTTCTTGTGTGAAGACTATCTCTTTGTTGGGGCAAGTTCTAGGTGTGGGTGCATGGCAGTCGAAGTGACTTTTCTAGAGCTCGTTCAGGCGCTCACACATGTCCTTGATTTCACTACTAATGTTGGCGCACTTGGGTGCCTTTGGTGGTGCATGCGGTCCCTGACCAAGCTTGATTTGGTGTTTGAGAACTATTGTTGCTGCTATTATGGCTGTACTTAGGGCTTGAGGCACTCCTTGGAATGGATGCAGGTACTAGAGTGTTGGGATCCCCAGGAGTGAGTGTTGTGGGCTCTGCTCTAGGCATGAGATCTGGATCTCCAAGAGATGGCTAAGGTTGCTCACGCTCAAATTTCGGTGTCATGGGGTCTTCTAGGTTCCCTTTGGGGTCCTTGGAAGGAGGATTGGCTTAAGGGGCATCCTTTGAATGGGTGGGGCTGTCTTTGGGATACCCCCAAGCTGCCCCATCAACTCCATCACAATGAACCGATCAACCTATCTCTGCAAGGCACTGAATTCTTTATGAGTTATAGACTTTGACTACGAGCTTCCTAGGGCAATGAGGTGTATCTGGAACGGGATCCCTGTGATGGGGACTAAGCGCCAGAGCAGCAGAGGCATGGTTGCTAGTGTACGGGAGAGAAGAGATACCAGAGGCTTTTCATACTGGTTCTCATAAATGGAGCGAATCTGACGTTGCCTAAACCAAGGTGGGCACGCAATAGACAAATCCTACCAACTTGAATGAGTCGATCGAGGTGAAAGGACGAAGTAGTGAACCGAGTAAAACCTGAAACTAAAGCATAGTTAGAGACCCCGAGAAGGAGGTCCACAGGGAAGGCACTCTAACACTCAGGTCAATAAGCAGTGAAGAGATCGACCAGGCCAAGCTAGTCCTGGCTGAGCAAGGTTGACGAAGCAAGAGAGCAAGAAGGCTAGAGAGCAGGAGAGATTGGAGAGAGTGTACCTTGAGGGAGGATGCCTTTAAATAGTTGAGTGTTGTGGTGCACTTGGTCACATTCCTTATGAGGCTTAAGGGTGGAGACCGTCTGTCGAGGTCTTCAGACGATCTAGTGTTCCTCGGCAGGGATTCTTATTGCTGAGATAGACACATCACATGTCCTGATCCTATTCAAGGTTTTCACATGTGGGTAAGTCCACCGACTCTGGTGCGTGTTGTGCTGGCTTGCCGACGTGGCCCGAGGAGGTCGGGTGATCCCGGGACACAGTAGCAGCCATGTGGCAGCTTTGACCGGCCAAGGTACAGCCCTAACAAAGCCTGAACCCAAGTCCGATATAGTTGAAAATTTTCAAATCAGGCAACCCAACTTGCACCCTATACTAGCTTCATGGCATTGTTCTAGTTTAAACATTGTTATAAATTGCAATTTCCAACAGAAAGTGGGCCTTGAGTAGAGAATTTTCTAGGCAAAGACGAAACTAATATAACGATCCTATTCATGTAATTACACGTTGAGATTCAGGAATTCCTACTCTATGGGTGATAGATGGTTCAAAGCTTATTTTTTTATATAAGATTTCTCCCAAGTGCATGCATCCTATTCCTGATAGGGACTAGGCATTTCTAGAAGTAATAGTAATACAGAATAAAGCCAAGTAGCCAACCCACAAGGAATAAAGCCAACTATCACCGCCTACATCTCCATATGACCTAGAAAAGGCAAAGAATCAGAGCATGCATGGAAGAATAATGACTTTAAATTCTTGTTTATGCAGCAAGGAATTTAAAATCTGCATATTTATACACAAGAATATTAGGCCAGACTCGTTACATTGAGACCTTGATGATTGCAATCAGCAAACCAAAGCATAGAGACAAGGCCACTAATCAGTAATCAATTAACCAATCAGTCACGACAAGGCATTCTAATCAGGGCTATGAAAAGGAGGCTCCCCAGGTATGCCAAAAGCCTTTTTAAGTCGTTTCCCAGTAACCCTTTTAACTGCGGTTTCATACATTCAAAAGATTTCACAGTTTCTTCCTTGGATGGAAGAAGCTTTGGTAAAAGGTAAATGACCGCCCATCAACATGGAATCCAGTTCTCTCATCAGGGAGGAGAGGTTTGGTCAGTTAGGTTATATAGATGTGAAACTATCCAAGGTAAGTAAGGATATGAATGCAGAAGCTTCTGTGCAATTCTAGGCACTAGATAAGGAAAGGAGAACCGGAAATAATAAATTAATTGTAGGTCCATGAGAGAAGAGAATAGAATAAAGCAAAGCAAAAACGCTTCTTTGTCAAGGCTCACCAGGCCTTCAACTTTGGGTTTTGCTTTTGCTTTTCTTTTAACTGCAGTCTGCTTCTCTTTCTGTATGTATTTTTTGTTCGCCTGCTTTCCTTCACATTGATTTTGCAGCCCAAAGAAGAAAGGAATGTCCCCGAACACACTCCCTAACAATTCTGTTACTTTGACCAGAATTAGCCTTGAGCCAAATATGATCCCTGTATCAATAACTGAGAATTCTTAGACAGAATGAAGGGCATTCTGGGCATTCTGTTGCAGAGAATCTAGCCAAGCTAAAGGCAATCTTTGTCAGCTAAGGAGGTGACTTGGGTCATCTTTTGTTAGAAATTGGAACAAGGGATTTGATTTTCTAATACTTGCACTATAAGAAAATGGGGTCTAGTCTGGTTCACTTTAATACAATTCTCTTAATTTTTAAACAAAGCTTATGCCTTTACCTCCCTGAGACATTTGCAGACAGCTTCTCCATGAAAGAACTCTTTTCCTGCACATAACCAAAAACAAGGCCTGCCATGCATCATGTAGGAGACAAAGAGAAGAACCTTAACCGTTCCTTTCTGTCACTTTTGCTTTCGTGGTCAGAATAACTTTGCTTCAGAATCGAGCTTCAGGTTTCTTGCGAGAGGCCGCTTCCTTGCAGCTTCTCGCAGCAGCAAATTAAGCAACCAGAAAGGGACTATGAAGCTGGTGGTGGAGGTGGTGGACGCTCACGATCTTATGCCCAGAGACGGTGAAGGATCCTCCAGTCCATTTGTAGAAGTTGACTTCGAGAACCAGAGAATCAGATCCCACACAGTTCACAGAAACCTCAACCCTGTCTGGAACGAGAAGCTCCTCTTCAACCTGCAAGACCCCAACAGCCTCCATCAGCACTCCATTGAAGTTTGCGTCTACAACGAGAGGAGGTCGATCCCTGCTGGCCGCAATTTTCTTGGGAAGGTAAGGATTCATGGCTCTAATGTTGTTAAAAAAGGAGAAGAAGCTTTGCAAAGGTTCCAATTAGAAAAGAAATGGTTTTTCTCATACGTCAAAGGCGATATTGGCCTGAAAATTTATATTTCACCTGAATCAGAACCCACAACTCCCCTTCCATCCTGTCCACCACCATCACGTCCTCCTCCTCCTCCTCCCGTTTCTGATAAAGCTACTACTACTGTTACTACTACAGATTATCCGGCAGCTACTGATACTGCGGCCACTACATGCAAGGCCGCTGCTGCGGTAACTGGTAGTTCAACTTCTACAGTTGTTGCAGTTGACACCATTTCCCCAGCTGGAGTCGCTGGTACTACTGGTACTGCTGGTCCTGATCACAAGGAGCCAAAGGAGGAGATCAAGGAGCCTGTAGAAGTGAAAGTCCAGACTACCCAATACATACACAAGCAGCAAGTTTGCTCACAAGCAGGTATATCGGTAGAGAGACAGCCAGAAGTCGTGCCGTTAATCATGCACCAGATCAACAACCCACAACCCCATCCTAACCAACAGGAGGAGGACTACAAACTGAAGGACACAAGCCCACAACTTGGAGAACGATGGCCAAGTGGAGGAATACGTGGTGGCGGAGGATGGATGAGCGGAGACAAGTTCACCAGCACGTACGACCTTGTAGAACAGATGTACTACCTGTATGTTCGAGTTGTAAAAGCCAAAGAATTACCTACCAATTCCATCGCTGGAAACTGTGATCCATATGCAGAAGTGAAGCTTGGGAATTACAAAGGAACGACTAGGCATTTCGAGAAGAAAACCAATCCTGAGTGGAACCAGGTGTTTGCATTTTCCAAAGAGAGAATTCAGTCATCAGCACTAGAGGTCTTCGTCAAGGACAAAGAGATGGTGGCGAGAGATGACTATCTCGGGAAGGTGGTGTTTGATCTAAATGAGGTGCCGACGAGGGTGCCACCCGATAGCCCCCTTGCACCTCAGTGGTACAGACTAGAGGATCGCCGGGGAGACGGGAAGGTGAAGGGAGAGATCATGCTTGCAGTTTGGATGGGAACACAGGCTGATGAAGCCTTCCCAGAGGCCTGGCACTCAGACGCTGCTTCCGTTCATGGAGAGGGTGTCTTCAACATCCGATCAAAGGTCTACGTCTCACCCAAACTGTGGTACCTAAGGGTGAATGTGATTGAAGCCCAGGATGTACAACCGAATGACAGAAGCCGTCTTCCGGAGGTGTTTGTGAAAGTTCAGGTTGGCAGCCAAGTGCTTAAGACCAAGTTATGCCCAACTCGTACCATCAACCCACTCTGGAATGAAGATCTGGTCTTTGTAGTGGCTGAGCCCTTTGAAGAACAGTTGATGCTTACAGTTGAGGATCGAGTGCACCAATCCAAGGACGATGTCCTTGGGAGGATAAGTCTGCCGCTCAACATATTTGAGAAACGCCTGGACCACCGACCAGTTGATTCTCGTTGGTTCAACCTTGAGAAATTTGGGTTTGGAGTCTTGGAAGGAGACAAGAGAAAGGAGCTCAAATTTTCTAGCAGGATTCACCTCAGAGTCTGTCTGGAAGGTGGTTACCATGTACTAGACGAATCAACCATGTACATAAGTGACCAACGCCCTACTGCAAGGCAGCTGTGGAAGCAACCAATCGGCATATTGGAGGTGGGAATCCTGAGCGCACAGGGGCTGTTGCCCATGAAGATGAGAGATGGCCGGGGCGCCACAGATGCTTACTGCGTTGCCAGGTATGGACAGAAGTGGGTACGAACCAGAACAATTATTGACAGCTTCAGTCCCAAATGGAATGAGCAATACACATGGGAGGTCTATGATCCTTGCACAGTGATCACACTAGGAGTTTTCGACAACTGCCATTTGGGGGGTAACGAGAAACCAGCTACCGGTGGCACAGCAAGAGACTCACGGATTGGAAAGGTAAGAATTCGACTGTCAACCCTGGAAGCAGATAAGATCTACACACACTCTTACCCACTTATTGTTCTACACCCAAATGGGATAAAGAAAATGGGGGAGCTCCAGTTAGCAGTTCGTTTTACTTGCCTTTCTTTGGCTAACATCATATACCTCTATGGCCATCCTCTACTTCCAAAGATGCATTATATACATCCTTTCACAGTAAACCAATTAGACAGTCTTAGATACCTGGCGATGAACATTGTGGCAGTGAGGCTTGGACGTGCCGAGCCACCACTCAGGAAGGAAGTTGTTGAGTATATGCTGGATGTGGATTCTCACATGTGGAGTATGAGAAGAAGCAAAGCTTACTTCTTTAGGATCATGTCGCTGTTATCTGGTACAATAACTGTCAGCCGATGGTTTGATGATGTTTGTCACTGGAAGAACCCAATCACATCAGTCCTCGTTCATGTTCTGTTCCTCATATTGATATGGTACCCGGAGTTAATACTCCCAACCATCTTCCTCTATATGTTCCTCATTGGGATATGGAACTACAGATTCCGCCAAAGACACCCACCTCACATGGACACTAGACTCTCATGGGCAGAGGCAGTCCACCCAGATGAGCTAGATGAGGAGTTCGACACTTTCCCAACATCTAAGCCCCAAGACATAGTTCGATTGAGATATGACAGGCTTAGAAGTGTTGCAGGGAGGATTCAGACGGTGGTAGGAGACATAGCTACACAGGGGGAGAGATTCCAGTCACTTCTCAGCTGGAGAGACCCAAGGGCAACTAGCCTTTTCATATTCTTCTGTCTCTGCGCTGCTATTGTGCTGTATATCACTCCATTCAGAGTAGTGGCTTTGGTCATAGGCCTTTTCATGCTTCGACACCCCAGATTCCGCAGCAAGTTGCCTTCTATACCGAGCAATTTCTTCAAAAGACTACCATCCCGAGTAGACAGCATGATATAAGGAGAGAAACACAAACCTGTTCCTGAATGCTAGCTGATACCACTACAGCAACTGAAAGGCCTGCTTGGAAGTCTGCCATAATTCTCTGTTTATTCAAAATGTTAACTGTTTGGGAGATTCTAACATGTTTTCTGGTTTCTACTTCCTATTTCTTGTATCTTTCTTTGAATAGAGATGTTTGTATAATACACCACAAAGGCAAGCCTCTTTGCCCACAAGACTTAAAGCTCCTACTGTACTAATACATTTTGTTAAGCTGTGTTTATTCATTGTATCAGTTTTCCATGTTACCCAGTTTTATCATACAATAAGACCAAAACCAGGTTTATGAGCTAGCTCAATAAAGAGCATCGTTATAAAGGATTTCAGCTAAGAATACAATGCCATAGGCCAAGCAAGGAACTGATGAAGGTAGTGTATAATTCTATCATGGACTTTTTATTTTTCTTTTCTTTTTATACTTTCAGTGGGTGGCTAGCTTATGTGGGTGTGCAGGAACATTTAGCCATTATGGGGTCTGTTAGGAAAACGCATTTCCCAGAAATTATGATATCACCACTGCTCATTGAAGGATTATTCTTTTCAAAAGCAAAATACGAGAAGGCAGTCATGTCATCCGGCAAAGATTAGAAACTTGATCTACTTATGAAAAAGTAGGAGACAAGTTCAAGGGCATATACTTTGACAGAATAGCTAGGTCCCTTCTATTCTCTCTATTTGGGACTAAATATGTTCTTGTAGATGGTAATTAGTTTACCTTACAATTTAAAAAAAAAAAAAAGTAGTTTCTGAAGGAACTTGGTCATCTTTTGCAAACAGAAGCATAAACACATGGATGAAACCACATACTTTTAATGCATCTCATCATAGCATCATATGGGTATATGACAAATTGTAATTTTGGACTTTCAAATTTCAAGATGTGAAATGAGAAAAAAGTGAATAATTAGAGAAAATAACCCTTAACAAAGCAGCAAAGAGGAACTAGATTCACACAACCAACCCCACTAACACATAGGATAAGGTAGACAACATAGGTTTATGAATAATATAAGTACATTACAGTTTCACAATCACATTTGGTATGTGGTTGTGAATTACTCCTTAAATTGGACACTTGTGAGAATTGTGTTAGTTTAAAATATTTTTAGCCGTTGGATAAACTTGGGGAATTTATCTTGACAAGGCTCACACTGGAGTATTGCCAAATTGGTGGAGCAGCTTGTCTCAATTGGTAGGGTTAGACCCTAAGCACAACCAGTGTGTGTTTGGAAGAAACACTAATCTCAGACCAATTTCCAGTTATTGTTAAACAATTTATGCCCTCTAATCAAGTTGATGTACATAAATATTTATCAATAAATGAATACAGTACATTATTGTTTCATGTTCTTATTGGTGTGCTTTTGTGAATTACACCTTAAAATGGACACTTATGAGACTCGTGTTAGTTTAGAATGTTCACAACCATTGGATAGACTTGGGGAGTTTATCCTAACAAGACTGATACCGGTGTACTACCAAACTAGTGGAGCAACTTGTCTTAGTTGCTAAGGTTAGACCCCAAGCACAGCCAAGGGTGTTTATAAGAAACACTAGATGTTTATCAATTTCCAGTTATGCCCTAGACCTTGGAGACATATGGGAAAACCTAGAAAGTTGCACTTAACCCCAGACATGATTATAATACTGATGTGATTCAGTCCAATAAATTTTGTAAAATATTTTCATATTATAACAAGGAGAGAAAAGAAGAAGAAGATGAAGAAGATGGAGAAGAAGGGATAAAAGAAGAAGAGTCTGATAGTCTCCTCTTCCACCCCTCTTATCTTTTATTAATCCTATTAAGATTGAACAAATTATAAGTATTCCCTTAAGTGGGCGTTCAACTCATCAGCATACTTAAAGAAAGCATAAAAAAAGAATTAAAAGACCATAGAGAAAAAGCCCATTAGCAAACAAAACAACTAGGAAGAACTAACAATAAGATAGTAATGGGCAAGGGCCCATTCAGCCTACTCCCTCAACACTCTCCCTTAAGCTGAGCGTAGATATCCATCATGCCCAACTTGTTTATATAATGAATTAGCTTTCCTTTAGGAACACCTTTTGTCAAAACATCAACAAACTGTTTTCAAAAGCAATAAATGGCAGGCAGACTTCTCCTAAAGCAACTCGCTCCCATATAAAATGCCTATCAACCTCTATGTGCTTAGTTCTGTCATGTTGAATAAGATTATGTGCAATGGTGATAGCATCCTAGTTGTCACAATATAGTATCATTGGCTTTTCAAAGTCAATTTCCAATTCTTCTAAAAGTGATCTTAACCACAAAAGTTCTAAAAGTCCATGTGCCATTTCCATGTACTTTGTTTCAATCGAGGATTTAGCCACTACAAGTTGCTTCTTACTTCTCCATGACACGATGTTCCCTACTACTATAGCACAATAATCTGAAGTGAATATCTTATCATCAATACATCCAACCTAGTCTACATTAGTGTATGCTTCCAACTTCATGTGTGCATGCTTAACAAACAAGATACTCTTCCCTAGAATCCCTTTGAGGTAACACAGAACCCTCTCTATAGCTGTCAAATGTGTATATATGAGAGAATGCGAAGGGACTCTAAGGACGTTGGAGAGTGAGTGGGGAAGGTCTTAGGCATAGCTAAGGGCTATATGAGGGCGTAGACATGGGTTTCCCCTAGGTAAGAATGTATCCCCCCCCCCCCCCCAATGTGTGAGGAAGGGGGTATTTATAGATTTTTTTAGAGGATTTTTTAAAAGGGAATGAGGCACTAAAATAGGAAGACTGGGGTGATAAATGACTGAGGTTTAAAGGGTTTTAGGAGGGAGATTGATTAAGGGAAAGGGCTATCAAGACAGCTTTTGGAAGGATCTTCTTAATCAATCAGGATAATAAGTGAAAATTTTCATTAATTTACCTAAATTGAACATTTCAAGCTTAGGTGATTGGCTTGATTGATTGGAGGCTTGTTATCTAGTTAAATTATAAATTTTAAGATGGTTCTAGAGGGTGGGAGAAAGATCTATTGGAAAGGGCTATCAAGACAAGTTTTGGAATGATCTTCTCAATCAATCAGGACAATAAGTGAAATTTTTCATTAATTTACCTAAATTGAATGTTCCAAGATTAGGTTATTGGATTGATTGATTGGAGGCTCCTTATCTAGTTAAATTTTAAATTTTAAGATGGTTCTAGATGCTGGGAGAAAGATTTGATCGTGTGGGTCCCAAAGTTCAAAGTTGTAGAGAAGAGGAGTCGAAATGGGGGGCCTGGATCAAGTCTAGCTTTGGGTCTAAAGATGAAGGGGTTAACGGTGTTGGAATTGGATGATCTATGTACCACTGGACTTAAAATTTTGAGCCCTATTCATCTATAAGGTTGGAATTTTTATTTCTTGTGGGATATGGTTCAGGATCAATAATGATCCCGATCAGATAATTGTAATCAATTCCAGGTTCAAGTCTCAAGATGAAGGAGTAAACAGTATTGGATTGGGGTGATCTTGGTGTCGTTAGATTTGTATTTTTGAGCTCTATGTACCAGTGTTTTTGGATTTCTAATATGGTGTAAAATGAGGTTCATAATCAAAATGGCTTTGATTGGACCATCGAAATCAGTTTTGGCTTTGGGTCTTAAGATGAAGGGGTAAACGATGTCATGTTTAGGTTATCTTGGTGTTGTTGGGTTTGGGTTGTTGGGATCTACATACCTATGGTTTTGGATTTCTGATTTTACGTGAAATGAGGTTTATGATCAAAATGACTCTAATCGGATGATCGAAATCGGTTCTGGTTTCGAGTCTTAAGAAGAAGGGGTAAACAATTTCATATTTGAGTAATCTTGGTGTCATTGGATTTGAGTTTTTTTGTCTATGTACCTATGGTTTTGGATTTCTAATTTGACAAGAAATAAGGTCCATGATCAAAATGACTCTAATTGGACTATTAGAATCTATTATGGCTTTGGATCTTAAGATGAAGAGGGTAAACGATGTCAAATTTGGATGATCTTGGTGCCATCAGGTTTAGATTTTTGGGTTCTACATCCCTATGGTATCTAATTTCTAATTTAACAGAGGATGAGGTTCAATATCAAAATTGAGATGAAGGGGGTAACCGATTTTGGATTCGAGTCTTAAGATGAAGGAGTAAACGTTATCGGATTTGGGTGATGTTAGTGTCATTGGATTTGCATTTTTGGTCTCTATGAACCTATGGTATCAGATCCTAAAGGTCCAAACTTTTGTGAAAATCCAAGAATGCCCCTGGGTCGATTGAGACGATAGCTAAAGCATGCTTGAAGCTTTAAGTGTTCTAGAAAAGCTAAAGGGCACAAAAATGGGGTGTCAACAAGTAGGTTTTGGATTGAACTATCTTTGATGTGACAACTAGTGAGATCCTTTAAGGGTCAAATATCTGGGCATATTGGGGTAGTTTAGGAAATTACCTAAGTGGGTGATCATAATGAAAGGATCGACCCCTATTCAAACAAAGTGAATTTCAGGGTTTACTCTCTGGTTGAAACCTAAACTGCCAACAATGGATTTCAATTGTATTTGAAATCTGATTTATAAAATGTATTTATATGTTATATGACTATTTTATGAAAAATGTTTATAAAAGGTTTTAATCTCGGGATCCATTCGAGTAGAGAGTGTGACACTGCATCTTGTAGTCAAAGAAGTGGTTCTTCCCTATGAGTAGTGTTTTGGTAATTATGGGCCAAGAGGTTAAGTGTAACCATTGTCCTTTGGTCTTCATAGGGTGGTTGAATCCAATGATCATTTATATGTAATGTTGGGCCAAATTGAGCCCAAGCTTATTGGGTTAGGGGTTCATTGCCCTTGGGCAGTGAATCCAGCTTAACCTCTTCTAGAGGTGGGGCTGAACTCTTATGGATTTGTGTGAGACCTTTGTGAATCACATGCCATACAATGTTCAGGATGCATAGAAAAGTAAGCCATTAAAGAAAATGGGCCTATGGCTCATTACTAACATGATTAGTTTAGTAGGTGCATGACAACTTAAGTTGTCATGTGACATGGAGCAAATAAGGGTATGGAGCACCCGTTCTATTAAGATAGAGTTTATCCATAAGGATAAATTATATCAAAATCTGATTTGAATTTAGCTCATAGTAGGACTAGAAGAGGGTTATGTATAAGTGACGAGAGGAATGGGCAAACCATTCTATCCTAAGCTCTCTCTCTCTCTCTCTCTCACACACACACACACCTTCCTTGCTCCCATAAAAC